GTCAAGCTCAGGATGCCAAACGCAGACTTGTCGAATCGCATTGTTGAACGACTCGTACACGAGGTTCGCCAAGGCTTCCTCCAATTCTTCCACCCGCCCAGTTGATTTTTTGAGGTTTTCCTGAGTGGCGTGAAGGTTCCCATGCACGAAGGCCAATTCACCGGATAATATGTCTTTTTCCGATTGGAGGCCCTCTTTGTCCTTTTTGGACTCGTCCAGCAATCTTGACAAGTCATCTTTTTCGGAGGTTAGGCACTTAACCTCTTCACTTGCCTTCTTCAGCTGCGCAACTAGAGACTTCTTAGCAGCTTTTTCGTCACTAACCTCCTTACCAAGGCGTCCAACATCAGCGGTCAGACCATCTACCTTATGCCTCATCTCATTGAGGCGATCATCCTGAGCAGAGCAGCAGCTGTCAACAGCAAGGGCGACCTCTTAGATACCCAAGATTCGGCCAATGACCACTTGCGTGCAATTCAGGATTTCCTGGTGATTGATTCATTCTGGCACCACCATCTTAGGTCGTCCGAGGTTAGGAAAGGTGGAGTCAAGGTCCCTTTCCGATAACTTGAGGGCCCTGCCAACTGGGATCTCAGCAGGAGAAGGAACCTCCTGCGCACTCGCCGTTACCAAAATCCCTCCACCACCAGGAGCACTAGTCACCATCATCCCACCGTTTCCAGAGTCCTCAAGAATGCCACCCGAGACGTAGCAGTCGCTATTTGTTAACTGCCTCAACTAATGTAACCTAAGGTGTGGCATCATTGAACCCCCAGGCGGGACTAAGTTTTCGTCTCCTCCCATTTTCAGTCCGGAGCTTTCATGCCCAGGCGACACTGATCCGAATGTCGACTTGCTCGCCGACGAACCTCCCACCAAGTTCATATAATCTTTAATTATAAGGACAACTGCCCTCCTCTCCAGCTCGCCAGCAGGAATGTCAGACGCAGATCGGATTTTCTTCCGGCGGTGGTGAACTTCTTTCTTTTTTCCTTTGTCCACATCTTTTCTCTTCGAGGCAGGGCTCAGCGCTACCTGAGGAGCCACACCCTTAGCAGTCCTAACCTTGGCAGCCGCCTGATGAGCCAGTCTCAACGTTTCCATCGGCAAGCTCTCAACTGCAACATAGGAAAGACACAAGTGTTAGTAAACACAGTTAATACTCACAACATAGCCATAAATGGTATGAATCACCACCACACCTCCATAACACAACACTCTCTTTGTAGGCCACCAATCAAGACCTCCCTTAACCTCCGCAAATCAATCCACTACCAATACTTCTTCAAGAGACAAAGCTCCGTGCCTAAATGAATACTGACTAGCGGGAATCTCATAATGGGCCTTGGTCCAATATAGCTCAAACTGACTTTTCCCACTCTTTCGGTCAACGAAAAAAGGCAATTCCCCCTCGCCAAGTACTGGTTGAATTCAGAAAAAAGTCCCCCCTCCAGTTCTTGTATGAATTGGCGTACTGAGCAAATATCGATCCCAATCTGGTCCCCGCCTTCAGCGAAACCCAACCAAGCTTTTTCAATGAGGGCGACACCTGGAAGCAATAAAAGAATAACCGCACAGAGAACACCCATCTGAAATATCGGCATATCTTTTCAAAGACCCGAACAAACGCCCAAGCATTAGGGTGCAGTGGAGAAGGCGCAACTCGTAGATGGGCTAACACCCCCATCTCGAACTCAGATAAGGGAAACCTAACTTTCTGATCCGTAAAGTGAGTCTTGTACACCATGAACCGCCATCGAGAGATCGCCCTACGGCAAGGCTTGTCACAAACTCGGTCAGCACCCCTGACCGCAATGCTTTGCCACTTCATCTCGTCTTCGGCACTTTCAGTAAAATCAAAATTGCCTTCTGTTTGATAAGCCTGGTTCAAAATAGCCCCACTGATATAACAAGATGAAGATGATGCCACCATCGAGTCTACCCAATCCCTCGCCAAAAAGCCTTCGTGATTTTGCGCAACCGCCATAAGTCAAGAGAATGCCCTCAAATCAAACCTGGGAGCGACAAACACACAGTCAATCGCCAAACACTTCAACCGACACCAAGAAGATCAACAAAAAGTCAAACTGCGAACCTCCATATCACCCAACTCCTACTCCCCGGACCACCAGCATCCCCCTACCAATAACTCAATCAAAAAACAACTCAAACACAAGAAACTTACCAACCTCTTCACCAGACCCACCAGATCGTCGCCTTCTAGATCCAGCAGACTGGCGCCTACCAGATCTAGAAGCGTTCTCACCAGTCACCACCTAGCGCCCACAATTGAGACGGGAACCAGACGCCTCACCAGAATACGAAACCACAGGTCCCAAAGCCCTCTCCGGAAACACGAAGAGCCTAAGATTTATGAAGAAGGTCCTCAGGGAGGGAAAAAACCCCTTTAAATAGAGTGAGAAGGATCAGGATGGCGTACACGTGTAGTACCCCACCATTTCGACCGTAGGATAACACAACCGTTAGATAATAGGCGGTTGTGATGAGGGGCCTAAAGGTAATTACAGGGGGACAAGACACCCCTCACGTCGCATTAATGCGCCGTGCTTTGTGACGTTTGAGTGCCTGCGGTTAATTACAATGATGGAAGCATCCATCATTACTGCTCCTCGAAAACTGAAAAGCCACATTTCCTGCCATAAAGGTGAAAGGTCCAAAAAGCCCCTTGCAAATCACGCAGCCCGCCAAAGATACAAATGGTATGAAACCCCGAACCGCCAAGACTCCAAATACTTACCGAGTCATCAAGAGATCCCTCACCACGCTTATACCAACCACTCAGATCGTCAGCAAGGCGTCGCCCAAGCCCATTTACCTTGGCACCAACCTACGCTTGCTACCAAGCTGGGGGGCTCTTGTTTCGGATGGCCCAACAACACAGCGGCCCAAAGGTCCAAGCCCAATCCCAACCCCCTATCCACGTCAGCCCTACCAACTTTCAGCCCCCAACCCCCAACGCGACGACACTCCCTAGGGGAAACACTAAAATGTCCCGTCTTGGGACCACAACCCCCAAAGGTGACTGCCCCAGATACCATAAGAGGATACTGCCCTTTGTCGCACGCTGACACCGTCAGGCATATGGGGCGCATCGTTGCTATCATAGCAGCGCCTGCCACGCCCAGCAGCGTCTGTCACCATTAGCAGATCCCAAGGAGGGTTTACCCCTTCCTCACCAACCCACACAAGATTCACATCACCTTCCCCTATAAATAAGCTCCCTTGGCACACCAAAAAGATATCTTATGTATCGTTATTCTGCCCATTTATATTGAGTCACATATACACACACCTAACCCCATTGTTGATTGCTTACTTCATACTTGGAACAGTGCCTCTTGTGCTAAGGGTATCATCCATACAGTGACTCCATCCCCAAATGAAACATAGTTGGCTTATAGATCCCAACGGTACACCATCTAACATGAAGGCAAAATCTAGAACTCATGGCAATCTTTATGCTCTGTTAAGGCACACTGCTGTGTGGTTGAGGGCTGACGAGAGTTGTTCAAATGAAAAGCAATTAGGGTTAGTTTAGTGACGAGGAGGGATACAAGTGGTTATGTAATAGGTTGTATATTTAATTTTTTAATACAAATAAATAAATAAAATAAAGAAATATTCAAATGAAGCATGCAATAATTCAAGGTGTACGTATACCTAAGGACTTTGACATTTCACGTTTGGAATCAAGTCATGATTGAACCAAATTCAGCTTACACGGTTGTTCTGATTCTGAACAAGGGAAACTATAGTTATTAATAGATGATGCTGACAGAAAAGACAAAAACAAAGAGATATAAAGAAGCAAACAGGACAAGAAAGTAAAAAACAAAAGAGCTAATGCTAATGATGCAGAAAGCAAAACTTGTGAATGTCACGTGATATTCCATCTCCTGCCTCATAGGTGTCAGTGTGCTATTCGTCATATGACACGTGCCGTATTATCTTCCTTGTGAACCCTTCCTCCATGTCCATGTCATTGTGTGACAGTAGCGTTTGATAAGAATCTTCACCCAAAAACCTTATCTCATAAACAGCGTGCTTTCGTGTGTATTGTAATTTTCTTTGTCCACGCTTTCGCATGTTTCATTCATGGGATTGGGAATAAGTTGAGTTTTTTTTTGGTGTGGAAATAAGTTGAGTTTTTTTGAACCTAGAATGCTCCTCTTTTATTTTCAGTTTTTTTTTTTAAAAAAAAATATGCTCATTTTTAATGTTTCATTGACCAGTTCTGATGTAATATCGAGCGGAAATAGGTTTTTTTTTTTTTTTATAATGTGTTCATTTTTTTATTTTTTAAAAATGAGTTTATCTCTAAGGTAAATTAGTAAGAACTTATCTACCTTAATTTAATTTAAAATACATGATTAGCCTAACAAACTAAAATTAAAGGGTAAATACATAATTACTCAATAAATCACTTAAAATAGCTATTAAGTCTTGACGTCATATTAAAATCAGAAAGCTGGTATTAATTGCAGCATGATTAGAAAGGTATTAACAAGAATACCAAAAAAAAAAAAGGTATTAAAAATATAATTCTTAGCAGAAGTATCAATTTTTTTAATTATTATATACATCTTTATTCTGTTCTACAACACTAAGAAAAGGTTTCCAGTAAAATCATTAATCATGTGTCCATCATCCAGTGATTCTCTAGGTTTATCTAGCATACATCTTCAATAAGATAATATATAAATTACGATAAATTATTAAAATTAAAATTTTTTTTTTTTTGGTAATTGAAATCTCATTATTTACATCTTTAAAACATATCACTTTTTTAGGGTTTTAGGGGGGGGGGGGGGGGGGGGGTGGTTGAATACGCCATGCAATTGAAGTGCATCAACAGCACCCAAATAAAATACCAAGTCACAAAGAAAACTTGTATTCATACATGTCCAATATAGATTGCTATTAACATAGTCCTATTCTATACATACACCATTGAATTTACAATTTGTCTAACATCAAAACCGTTGGGCAATTATACATCTAACTGCAAACATGTAGATTGTGTGCTATACATGTCAAAGAGAAGAGGCAAAAATATTACAATATACAATCGAATAGTTTATATGGAACTGTCAAATGAAGTCACTTATCATGCCATCTAAGGCATGCTACATGTGACCAGAGCAGAGGGGAAGTTTACATAACCACATGACAAACATGGAACATGGTTAAGGCCAAAGAACTTAGAAGACTTTTGAATTCTCAGAGAAGAATTTAGAAGCAGAATTTGCCAAGTTTATCAGAAAGGCAATCCAATCACCATAGCCTGAAGGGTGCACTTTGTGATAATGTCATGTCAAATGACATCATAAGTTGGATATACTTTGCAGTGAAGAATAGAGAATCAGCTCTTGAGCTTAACGCTGTTGAACACATCTTTGTTACACCCCTTTTCCTCCTTGAAGAAAATCTAGGCCCCTGTTACAAAATCAGACAGATTGTCATTGATTGCATGGAGAAAGAAGCATCAAATTTCATCCATTTTTCAGTGTTTTCTTTTGCAACTATATGACTGTTTCTTTCCTTTTATAAAACATGGTTAAAAGTTGTATATACTCAGTAGCTTCTGGTTTGGCTCAAAGGGTCATAATCATACATGTCACCGGCTTTGACAAACCGGCCCTTGACACGCCTTCTGACATCGGCTCTTGCCTTGCGAGAGGCATACCTCACTCTTTTGTCAAACCTAATAAGATAATAACAATTGATGTTAAATAAACTTAAGAGCAAGCAAACATGTTTTAAAGTTTCAAAACAAAAACAAACCCAGTAGTTACTAGTCAGGAAAGGGCTATCTAGCTTGATAGCAAACATTAAAAACAAATAATCACAAGTTGAGAACAGAACAAAGACAATAAACTATGGCCGTCATCAATACTTTCATCTCAACAATGGCAAATATTTAACCAACACCCTTGGCTATATAAATAGCCCTCCTCAGTATTTTGCATTTACTACACAGACCTCCCCTTTATTATGAAAAACAATACAAAATTCCATTGGATTTATATAAAATACTAGTAAAAAATAAATCACTCCCCATTGAAACTCAACTTGCGAAGGCAATCCTTATACACAGCGTTACCCTTACATATTTGCAAAGAGACTTTCACGGATTCGTTACCCTTGCATATTTATGAAAAATACTACAACAATCCAAAATACTGTCAAGCCCAACAGATCGGTTAACTAAGCTATTAGCTCATATGAGCTCAAAGTTCATTCCTAGCGTTGTAAAGTGTTGAACGTTGAGAGAAGAGTTAAAACACATTCATGAGGTCTAGAACATTAAATTCAAATGGTTGGCCATCAAACAGAATCTTCCATTAAGATGTACAAAACGAATGTGCATTAGTCCCCTTTCCTCAACATAAATAGCTAAGCAATGGCAGGAATGACACTTAATCATCAAAAATCCATGAGCTAACTGCAAAGTTAACAAATCATTGGGCCTGCTTTAGAGTTAGTGGGAGCTGCTTTTCTAAAAGGACGCAAGTTTGTAATGGTTTTCAAAATTGAGAGTAGGTCTATGTAGTAAATGCAAAATTCACTGGAGCAAAGAGTAATTTATTCTGAACTGTATTATTGCAATTACTTACTTGCGTGTCTTCTTCTTTTCCTTATAACGCATGACAGCATTACAGCGGTTAGCAGATTGTAGGGAATTCTCAGGACAAGGAGTAAACCAAGGAGGTTCTCCCATAAAAAGCGTCGAAGAAGCCCCACAATCTTGAGATTCTGCAGCATTATTCTCTGCAGTAATGCCAGTAAAAGAAAGGTTTGATTGGGCTTGCCTTCCCGTAAAACAAAGAACTGGTTCAGTTTTAGTGCTCAATATGGAATCTGCAGATGCTGCATTGCTGCATGCTGGTTGCAATGGATTGACCAGTCCAACTGATGACCCCTGAACATAAAAGTAAGATCTGAAAATAAGTATTTAATCAAAGAAATGTTAAACAACACAGCCTCCACAAAAGAAAACAAAATCCTCAGTCCAGTATGACTTATATATTACAAGCATGCATCATACTGAATGGTGAACATCTCATTCTTCACACTTAAATGTATGCACCATATGTAGGTGAAGAAAATATAAGTGCCTCCTCAAATAAATATAATAAATTTAAAAGAGAATACACTGATATTTTATGTTATTTCTTTATCATTTTACAAATTCCAGATAAATCAGTATTTAACATCAGTACTTTGATTGTTTGTGTTAAGGACCATCTCTCCTAAGAGCTTAACCTAGTAGGTACCGGCTTATGAATAGTTTTTATATCTAACAAGCCCCTCACTCAAGGGCAATCTGGGCTTGAAACATGGACAACGAATAGGCTCATTTTTTTTAACTTGGGCTAAAATTCAAATCTTATATTGAAGAATGGGGACAGCCTTATTTGAACTCTTGACCATTTGGTAATAGAGGCTTTGATGCCATGTCTAGGACCAAATCTCCTAAAAGCTTAAGCTATTAGTGGAGGCTGATGAATAGACTAATAACAGAACATAGACAATTAATGATTAAATTCATATAGGAGCATGCTTAGAATGAAAGTTGCCTATAATCCCTGTTGTGACTGAGCATAGGCCCTATTTCTAAATCTTTATCATAATAGTTACGATATTCAGAAGAACCACATGATTAAGGAGAAAACAAATGAACACAAGTGAATACACAAGAACAAGATTAACACAGACAAAGAATGTCAAGAATTTAGCACCTCAGCAGCAACAGCATCCTGACAATTGGAATCTGCAGCAGACATATCCTTTGTCCCAAACAAGCTATCAAAGCCACCATTTTCAAAAAGTTCCTCAGAATGACTGAGGGACATACCAAAAAGTTCTTCGTAGTTCTCAAGATTTAGATCCACTTCATCCATGTTGAAATCAGCATACAGATCATCATCTTCACATAGTGCAGGGCATTTGGTAGCAGGACAGTATAACTGCAGATTAATTACGAGGGATTAGTAATTTAATTGATGAATTTATGAGAATTTCAATATAGATAACTAAAGATGTGTAACTCATTTCAGTATAGACCTTTTAACTAAGCCGTCTACAAGATACAAATATGCAGCTTCTGTTTTTGAGTTCCAGCTACTAATAAATCAGGAAAGCTTATATTTATATTAAATAAAAATATACCTTTAGACCAAGAATCAATACATAAGCACAAACAGCCACAAAACTAGAGAATTCAACCAAAGGAATGATGATTAAGGAAAATGAAGTGGTTGACAATAAACTACATAGGAAAACAAGCTTTGCTAATAATGTTTCTTTTACTCTATGGCTTCGATAGGAAAACAAAATTATAAACCCATCAAACAAGTTGAGACAAAGCACTCATCCCTGGCAAGCTTGCAATTTCATTCCCTGGGCAGTTGTTAGAACTTAGAACGTTCATTACACCAAGTGCTGGTTACGAGACTCATGATGAAAATGATAATATAACATTCAGCTATACCTTTGGCATAAATTCATTGGCAGGTCCAGCTGGCTGGTCCAGAATACGAGGTTCTGAGCTTGACTCGGGCATTGAAGATGTACAAACCCAAGACTTATCCATACCAGGTGCATCAGTAACTTTATCTGAACGAGAAGCATTCTGGTTTTCTGGAGGAATCCAAGAAGTCTTGTTGCTGTTCTCATTAATACTCATTAATCCTAGTTCTTGCTCACATGTAGATTCACTCAATGAAGGGATATCCAACACAAATGACCACATAGAAGACAGTTCTGCCGCTGAAGGGCAGCCAGAATAGCAGCTGATTGGTTGCCTATTATGTGTTGAACAAGATGTAGAGGTACCATGACCTAACCAATCACAATTCTTGCAAAGTGAAATTTTCTCTTCAGCACACCTTACAAAGGCAGGTTGTGAATTACATCTCTCGCATAAAAGAGTCCGCGAATGACGCCTGGAAAGGGCATTAGCGGAATGAACATTTCGATCGCATGACAAACATAAGCACGCAGCATCAGATCGGCAGTACACCATGGACCTCTGGTTTCCACAAAAATCACATATATAACCCATCTTTGAACTGAGTTTTCTCTTTTTTCTTAATCTCAATTAAGAAATCTCCAATTAGTAGCAGTCTATAGTATACAAACTATAATATCTTCAAACAAAACAGAAATTCCTCCTTATTTGAAGATGCTGAAGCCAAATTCTGTCATATAACTAGGAAGCTGTTAGACACTGATAAAAAAAAAAGTAAACTATCAAACTTGAAAAACCATTTCAGATCAGCAAGAAATTATACAACAGAATTGATTCTTTCATAATAATAATAAAATATAATTAGAAACATTACCTAATAATAATTGCCAAGAAGAACTTCCGACGGGACTTTAGATTTGAAAATATAAAAATTACTGAATACACTAAATGAAATTTTACATAGCAAAATTACCATTTTAATTTGGATATAAACAAGGGCATTTCCATGATCAACCAAACAACAACAACAACAACCACGAAATTCATAGAGAAAAAAAAATGAACCGGTTTGTCACAGCAACCTTAACAAACATCATTCATGTGATAAGTTATAAGTAGCAGATCAATTCCAAATAACCAAAAAGTCAGAAAAGTCACTAACACAGAATCAAATACCCACAAAAAAAAAAATTGGAAGGGGAAGAAACAGAGACAACAAGAACAACATATCTAATCCAATAATCATATACCAGAATAATTCAACAGTCAATTAATTCTCAACCTTTCCTTGTGTAAAGCACCCAGAAAAAGTTTCATGCCCATAAAAACATGAACTTTGATAAAATAAAATAAAAAAACAAAAAAAAAAACATGTTTTTCTATGAAAGATGAAAAACACAGATGGAAAAAAACACGAGGTAAGAAAATTACCTTACGGCAAGGAAGACAAAGAGGACAAGATCGGCGAGCTTTTTCAGAAAAATTATAATATTTTAATGCAAAACTTGAAAGCAAAGAACCCCAGAAGCAGCTGAACTTTTCAAGACAACAAACATAGATACTTCTCTCTCTCTCTCTCACTCACTTTTTTTTGTTTATGTTTCTCTCTCCTCCTATGCTCTCTCTCTCTCTCTGCTATGTTCAGAACTTCATACAGATAGATGGATAGATAGGAATAGCAAGTGGTGTTTGATGTGAGTGTATAGGTAAGGTGACATAAGCAAAGTTGATAAAAAGTGCAAAACAAAAGAGTAAACAAATATAATGGAAGTGGGGCCATGTCCTTTTCATAGTGAAAGGAAAAAGGTCAGGGCTTTCTTTTTTATTGGTCCCTCACATGAGAAAATTAATACTCCCATTACTATATATAATCTTTTCATGCACTTTCTCTTATTGTACTTTGATATTTTTGCTTTTTATATTTTATTTATTTATATTCTATAAAAAAATTTAAATAAATACTCACTGTTTTTTTCTAAAAAGTGCATCACATGCTGGTTGAGGTGGACAAATGGTAACATGTCTTGTGACCTTTTTTACAATTTTTTATTTTTTTATCAATTGGGCTTTTCAGGCTTTGGGGGCAACTGGGCAAGTCATCTATGGATTCGTGGGGTCCTTGGTTTCGTGCCCCCACAGTATTCACTTGCTCAGTTATTTAATTTGCATAATATAGCTACAACAAGTATATGTTGTAAGACAAAATATATGTGATTTTAAATAATGTGAAATTATGTTATATGTCATTTTAAATAATATAAAATTATATTATTTTAAGTGAAAAAAGAAATGGATTATAAAGGAGAGAGTGAATAAAAAAATAAGGATATGAATTTTATTTCTTGTGAAAATAAAATAATATAATTTGTGTCATTTAAAAGGATAAATTTTTTATCATATTGTAATTACGTATCTAATGTCTATTTGCCGTGCATGTTTATTTGATTTTATTTTAAAAAATGATCTTATATTTATCTTAATAAAAAAAAATTATTCGATATCCTGAAAATTTATAGATATATGATATTTTCTACTTTAAATGGTTAACATAATTATCAAATTTTTAGCACGATTCCAAATTATTTCGCATTAAATCAGAAACCTTTCAACTCCAATATCAACCGAGTGTTATATTTAAAATAGGACTTACCATTTCTCTAGAAATCCTAAATGCACAATTGCCCAATATCAACCCTATTTAAAAATAAATGTATTTCTATTAAATATTAACCTAGAATTAAAACATAAGCAATAAAGACTAGACGCAAACCTTAAATATTAGCATAAACATTGAATTATCTAATATTATTTTATAGGTGCTAATTACCTCATGTAATATGCATTCTTTTCTTTTGTTTTTGTTATATAAAATGTTTCTCAAATATAAAATACAATAAAAAAGACGAAATAAAAATGAAACTTACACATCAAATTCCATGGTCGGTTTCATATGAACTATTAATTTATTGACTAATTTATATAAAATAGAGAGCACTATTTGACTTATTCGAAAGTCCTCAAATCTCTTAGTTGTTTTCTCAACTGCCCTTATCCATTAATATTTAATATTTTGATAATAAAAAATTAAAATAAGTCATTGTAAATTTTCTTTATTTGACATCTTTCATAACATCTTGAAATTATTTCTAATATCTTTTTCTTTAAGGGAGTGAACATTCTTATGAAAGATTAGTGAAAACCATGAGTTAAGTTCCATAAGAAATTTGGTTAGTAAGTAAGCTTTTTTATTTTGGATACAGGTTAGTAAATAAGCTTGGTAACATAAATTAACCATTATATATATATATATATATATATATATATATATATATATAGGTAAGATCTTTTGATATCAGTGTCAAATTTGAAATTTGACACCTCATTTGAGAGCAATTAGATCAAAAAAGATCAACGACTCTGATTTGTAAGCATGTGACACCATTGATCTTTTTAGATCTAACGACTTTCAGATGAGATGTCAAACTTCAAATTTGACAATGGTGTCAAAAGATCCTACCTCATATATATATATATATATATATATATATATATATATATATATATATATATATATAAATGTTATTCTTATATCGATGTAATAATAAGAAATTTTATATTCAATCTTGACCATTGTGCTTATATCGAACGGTTCATGTGTCTAATAAATTAGAATCATGAATTAGATATAAACAAGAACAATAATCAAGATTGAAAGTTTAAGTTATACTGGTATAAAATGATCCTGACCCTACATATATATATATATATATATATATATATATATATATGTATTTTTTTTTCAATTAATAATTATTTGTTTGGTTGACCCTTTTTCATTATTCACATATAGTATGTGATGGTATATATATTTAAATGGTCATCAAACGATGGTAGTTTAATTGGTGCCAGATAATTGAGCAGGTGGGGTGAGAGCATATATTTGATAATCCTCAATATCGTCTTTGGAAGGGATTTAAAGCCTTAATTTTGGAACCCACTCCGAATCGATGAACTGGTTGAAATATCTAAAAAAAATAAAATTAAATGGTCACGCTTGAGCGCATGCTTGACACCACTGTTCACGTTTTGTTCATCTATATATAATCATTTGTTGCTGCTGACTTAATTACTCAAATATTAAGAACAGCATGTATGAGTAGGATCAAGGCTTTACTAATTTTAAATCGTATAATTTAGTGTTTATATATAGGGAATTGTTTTTGTTATGTTGCATAACATAAAAACAAACTTCCTACACTCACAAAAGGAAAAAAGAGGAAAGAGAATAGGAAAAAGAGAAAAAATTTAAAATGGATCCCATATAAAATTTGTGTGTGTAAGAAGATGGTTTTATGTTATTTAACATAATAAAAACAATCCCCTTATATATATAGCTAAGACAGGAATCCCAAGGCCATGCTTCAAGCCATGGCACATAAACTCGCTGGTGAAACTCCCTATTCTTTTTTTTGGTAAAGACTCCCTATTCTTTTAAATACTGTACTGGAATCATAATTGAAATAGATCAGAATCTGAAACTTAGAATACAATGACTCGCAATGTCCCAAAATAAATGAAGAAACCTTAAATTATAATGTCCCAATTCGATTTTTCTTCCTTCTCCGAGGTGTTGTGTCTTGGAGTGACAAATGAAAACAATGACTTCCAATAAAATATGATTACTTGCTAAAACTAACCCTTAGCTCTTGTGAGCTATAAAATGTAAGTATATATAAGAGTGAAAGAAAACATTTTTGAATGAATTAGGATATCCTCCTTTTATGGACCAGCCTTCAATGCCTAAAACATGTAGGTTGATCTACAAAGAACCATTAAGGTATCATACTCATGTCTTCTTATAATGAGCATACTTATCTCAATGTAGATTATTCCTCACTCCCATCATAGATTATCACATAGATTATAATGGCGCACATTAATAAGTGAAACAGTTAGACTTTCCTCTCTCTCATGATTAATGAATATTTCTCAACTATTTCTCTCCATATAAAGAGGTATCAAGCATACATGACTTTTATGATTTGTTATTTTATCAAATGTTAAGGTCACTGTACCCTTACATATTTCCCATCTCTCAATCATAATTGAGATAATATTCACGGTGACTCTCCTAAACCTTTGATTCATATCACTGCCTCTTTGAGCACTTATATAGCGAGATACTATGTCACTTGAAAGATAAAGACCCTAGCTCTGGCTTCAGAATAGCTCACTTCCAATGAGAAAGGCTGATCATATTCTCAGAGAAAGGTAAATAAAATTTTTATTATGTATAGATCTATCATATTTAGTTATAAAATTCAAGTGTTTCTGTTTGAGATTTTCATCAATAATTATTAGCCTAACCAAATTTAAAGCAAAATGATTATTAATATTTTTATATAAATTAGGTAAAATAAAATTGTTCACTTTTATATTTTTATTATGATAATTGTAAAATTCGGACTAACTCAGTTATTCAAACTATAACTATATATGTATCAAACTTTCGACCAATTCGAACGCTATTAACATGTTAGTTTTTTAAAAATTTAAAATGCCGGCATTAAAAATCAGGAGCTCCATATTTTCTTGAAAAATATTACTCTCATGTGATATGAGAGAATTTTTTCTCATGCACTCGCAAATTAAGAGGGGGGCCTACTCTTTATTTTTTTTTATCTTCTCTATTCTCTCTTCTTTCTTCTCTAAGTTGTGAGTGCACGAGAGAAAAATTCTCACATGTCACATGAGATTAATATTTTTCTATTTTTTTTATGATTGAAAAATGTGTGAACGTACATTTGCAATAGAAACTATCTAAAACAAAGCTTTAATCTTGAACTCGCTCCGAATCGGATTAATTGCGAAGCAATGAACCGATTGGAATATTAAAAAAAAAAACTATCTAAAACAAATATGCTCTCTGGAAAACTTATGATGAATCAAAGGAAAAATTACAAAAAAAAAGTATCACAAATAATAATATTGATTTTATTAAAAATACTTTTTTAGATTAAAATATTTAAATATAAATTACTTTCTTTAAATTTACTTTTAACAAAAACTAACTTTATAAAAATTTTAAAATAAATTAAATTTGTAAATAGCAATAGCTAGTGAAATGGATTTGTAAATAGTATGAATGTGAAGAACCTTTTGGTGAATTCACGAAAAAGTTGCACTTTTTGTGATGTGGTGGGGTTGGATCTCGCAGGTCTTTTCATTGTCGATTGAGTGGGCGTTGCATGATTTTTAAATTAGCACTAAGATCCAAAAATGCCTTATCTGTACAAACAGTTTCTTTATTTTATTATATATTTTTTAGTCGTGCTCCTTCCACTTCATCTAACGTAAGTGCCATTTGTCACCCATTGTTTTCATTCTATAAGCTATGTCTTCATTTCCAAGTAGTAGTTTCAATTTCAACGTTAAATAAGGAGCTCATTTATGGTACAAGAGTAGTATGTACTATTGCTATTGAAAATTAAACACTTGTTTTTAATATATTTTTTTTTCTTTTCCATGTCATCAATCAGCATAGGTGTTTAATTTATATTGGAGGAATGTATAGAAAAGTGGGTAAGGTAGTAGTACTGTAAA